CTTTTAATTTTGATGTTTTCCCATTTGTTTATTTTCTCCTTAGTTTCCTTTGCCCTAGGAGGTGTATCCGTAAACATATTGCTACAAAAATGCCTGATATTTTCCTGCCTATAGTTTCTTCTAAGATTTTTATGGTTCTTGTGACTTATATTTAAGTATTTTATCCATTTTGAGTTTATTCTGTATGATGTAAGTCAGTGGTCTAGTTTCATTTTTTGCATGTATCTGTCCAATTTTCCCAACACCATTTATTGAATATGCAGTCTTTACTGCATTGTATGCGCCTTCCTCCTTTGTCAAATATTAATCGAGCATAATGATTTAGGTCGATTTCTGGACTCTCTGTTCTGTTCCATTGATCTATATGCCCGTTCTTTGCCAGTACAAGGCTAGTTTGATTACAATAGTTTGGTAGTATAACCTGATATCTGGTATTGTGATCCCTCCAACTTTGTCCTTCTTTCTTAAGATTTTTGCGGCTATTCAAGCCCTTTTATTTTTCCATATAAATTTTTGGAATATTTTTTCTAGATCTGTGAAATATACCATTGGTAATTTAATAGGGATTGCATTGAATCTATAGATTGCTTTGAGTAGTATAGACATTTTAATTATGTTAATTCTAGCAACCCATGAACACAGTATATTCTTCTATTTGTTTATATCTTACTCTGTCTCTTTTTTCAAAGTCTTGTAGTTTTCCGAGTATAGGTCTTTTACATCCTTGGTTAAGTTTATTCCTAAGTATCTGAATTTTTGTGTTGCAATGGTAAATATGATTGTTTCTTTTCATTACTCTTTCTGGGAGTTCACTATTGGTGTATAAAAATGCCATAGATTTCTGGGTGTTAATTTTGTATCCTGCTACATTGCCACATTTATTTATTAAATCTAGTATTTTTTTTATGGAGCCTTTAGGGTTTTCTATGTACAATATCATACCATCTGCAAATAATGACTCCTTTACTTCCTCTTTTCCAATTTGGATGATTTTTATTTCTTCTTCTTGTCTGATTGCTATGGCTAGCACTTCCAGTACTATGTCAAACTACAGTGGTGAAAGTGGGCCTCCCTGTCTCCTTCCTGGTCTTGG